CTGGCTTCTTCAGAGGTTTATTCATCTTGATGCTTCACCGATATCATCGGTGAACTCGTGCTGGCGAAATGTATGAATACAGTTTCAAACCACGACGGCCTTCAAACACGAATGAATATCGTAACAATGAAAATCTTGGCCGCGAAAGCCTTAACCAATTTATCAAAGTATATCTGCTTATTGAGGCTTCAATATCATCAATTTCGTAAGATCCGGCAGGAATATCAATACAGTCTTGCTTCACCTTCTTTGAAATAATAAATTCCCGTGCCTTCTTCAATGTTTGGTAAACTGTTGTATATGAATGGAAACTGAGCAAAGCTAAATTGTATTCCAAATCGGAATACACAGAAAAAAGCATGATCTAACAACATACGATTTCAATGCGAAACGTATACAGGGTGCAGTTCAAAATACGTCTTTGAATATAAAAAAAATTCGGTGATGCATAGAGTATACGAGTGGTTTTGAAATAAAAAGCAGCATATATAAAGTGTTTTGTAAATATACCGTCAGAAAAATTGTCAATTATTTCACCATGCGATCGCAATGAGGAATTGTACACAAGGTGATATATTTTATAGTAACGGGGTGGATTGCCTAGAGTTTCAACGTGCGATCCCAATGCGAAACGAAGAAGAAGAAAGATATATTCATTGAAATAGGTAACCCTAATATACCATATTGAATAAAATATATTACTAACATTATAGAAATTGCAAATAATTATGGAAAATAAAAATGTAGATATAGTTCAATATTCAAAATTGAACGTTTATAGTTTGAAATATCACGGCAGACACACATATTCTATCAAAAAATACACCCCAATATAGGTGCAGCTCCAATACAATGATAAATAGAAGTATTATTCTATCTAGCACTTTGGATGGATTTCAATAACTGTTTTTGGAAAATATTCAATGATGGACTAGATTCAACTTCGTTTGGTTATTTATTGTATGCATCATGACACTATTCCTATTTGTTCTGCATACATGCAAATTAGTGTGATTTCTTGCGGCATATTTATGCAATTCCAATAGATCCGTAAAGGAACTGGTAACCACCGCAATCTATTCACTTTTAGAACAATGGGCATACCACAATTTTGAGTTTTTTTTAATTGAGATGTTTGATTTAGATTGAACAGGAAAATGAAAGAAGCACAATAATCAATATGGTTGGGTAATCGCATTATATGCAGTAAATTTAGACTTAATAGATACCATATTAGAAATTCTTGCAAATAAATATAGTTCTTTAGATATTACAGAGTATAGTTCAAAATACGTCTTTGAATATAAAAAAAATTCGGTGATGCATAGAGTATACGAGTGGTTTTGAAATAAAAAGCAGCATATATAAAGTGTTTTGTAAATATACCGTCAGAAAAATTGTCAATTATTTTACCATGCGATCGCAATGAGGAATTGTACACAAGGTGATATATTTTATAGTAACGGGGTGGATTGCCTAGAGTTTCAACGTGCGATCCCAATGCGGAACGAAGAAGAAGAAAGATATATTCATTGAAATAGGTAACCCTAATATACCATATTGAATAAAATATATTACTAACATTATAGAAATTGCAAATAATTATGGAAAATAAAAATGTAGATATAGTTCAATATTCAAAATTGAACGTTTATAGTTTGAAATATCACGGCAGACACACATATTCTATCAAAAAATACACCCCAATATAGGTGCAGCTCCAATACAAGGATAAATAGAAGTATTATACTATCTAGCACTTTGGATGGATTTCAATAACTGTTTTTGGAAAATATTCAATGATGGACTAGATTCAACTTCGTTTGATTATTTATTGTATGCATCATGACACTATTCCTATTTGTTCTGCATACATGCAAATTAGTATGCAATAGATCCGTAAAGGAACTGGTAACCACCGCAATCTATTCACATTTAGAACAATGGGCATACCACAATTTTGATTTTTTTTTTAATTGGGATGTCTGATTTAGATTGAACAGGAAAATGAAAGAAGCACAATTATCAATATGGTTGGGTAATCGCATTATATGTAGTAAATTTAGACTTAATAGATACATTATTAGAAATTCTTGCAAATAAATATAGTTCTTTAGATATTACAGAGTATAGTTCAAAATACGTCTTTGAATATAAAAAATGACAGTGATGCAATGGAGCATACGAAGAGTGTTGAAATATAAAAAAGATATATAGAGTGTTTCTGAATATGTTTCGTTCTTCCGATTGGTTTTTATACGTCTAAAGTATACGTAGGTAGGTCTAAAGTGAGTGGGTCTATTCGACCGTAGCCCATAAGGGTTTATTGTGGCTCACACCTATTCACACTCGGACAAATAAACCCAGCTTTTTAACGAAGCCGATTAGTTTGTATGGTGAGTGGTCTTCCAGGTCAGATGGTGAGAGTACGGATCTGCCAAACTCAAAGAACCTGATTCAGTCCCCAGCGGGGCAGGCATAAAGTATATGCTCTGCAGTTTCATCATTTTCCAGACAGAGGCGAGTTACACTGTCTTTCGACAGTCCAAGTATCTGCATGTGATGATTCATTCAGGTGTTCAGTGTTTGCCAATGACAGGTTCTGGTCCAGTGAAGCCGCTTGCAGTGCCCTCCTAAGGCAGGAGAGTCAGCAGCTTCATTGCCTTCCAGGCCAGTATGGCCAAGAATCCAGACCAGAGACGTGTACTCTTACCACATATTTTTTACTGGAGAACGAAAAAACCATAGGTGTGCAGTATTCATTTTGATCTACAACCTCATAATTTCTAGTGGAGAATACAAAAATGAAAACCATGAGTGTGTGACAAAGATTTTTCAAAGATGTTGAATTTCATGGTGACAAAAAAACGTTGTGATAAAATTCAGAAATTTCAGCGTTTGGAGTTTGGAAATGTGTAAGCTGCCTCAGACAACAACACATTCCTCAGAACGAATTCAACCTGTTCAATATTATTGAACATAATGAGATATAAAATACAAATGGTTCCTGTTCAGTATAAACAACGTTGAGAAGAATATGAAAAGTGCAAGTAACAATGTTTTTGCAATGACTTGTGTAATATTATCATGTGTACTTATCTGAATTGCGAAAAATATATCGAAAGTTGAGAAAATTTGAATGAGCATGTAATATATAAGTTGATGAGTGTATGGGTTGTTTCAATGTAATTTTTCATATAATGAGAATGAAAAAATTATTCATCAAATCAATCTAGAAATAACATAAAACATTTTGTGAAATATAATAAAATGGAATTTCCAGCAAAAATAGGTTGTAAAATCATCACATTTACAGAAAGCATTGAAAATTGATAACAATACCGAACAAAAGAAAATTTCTTATCGTGAGGGGTACTGCAACTAAAGCAAAAAGCCACGATGTGAAAAAAGGTGGTGAAAATGATCCAACCGCTCATCTCAATGTATTTTCCAGTATGTCGCATATTGTGCTCACCCGATACCTCTAAAGGCAAGGAATTCGTTGATGAGCTTCAGTTTTGTCAAAGCTGTAGTTGAGAAAATACAATATTTGTCTTCAAACCTGCTCAATCTTTTTTTTTGAACTCAATGAACTGAGTTCAATGAATAAAATGGAATCATAAAAAAAGGGGAGTCAGCATGTTTCATTCGCAATCATGTGATGTGGCACGAGCTCAAGGTGATAAATCTAGAGCAGAGACGATTGTCAAGGTCAAACTCCATGCTCAGGGTCATTTGGCATTTGGCCGTGTAGAATTATTAAAGGTCATATCATGTGAATGTCGCTCAAGGTCGTGTGACGACAATCAAGGTCGAATGATAGGGGGAAGTTCAGTTCCGTCATTAGCACCTTACTGCAAGGGCGGAATGTCGAGAATCTTGCGCGCTATCTTCGTGACGTCATTGAAAAGCAGAAAAGCCTCATTCAATACAATTTAAGCAGATATTTGAAACGAAGAAAGAAGAATCATAACTAATCGAAGGTTGACAAACATTGCCAACCACTCTCAAACAAACGTTGATGTATTAGTTTAGAAATAGGAGTGAAAATATATCAATTTCTCATGAGTTGGCTAAAAATGCAAATGCAGATGATTTGCTGCAACATCTTTCAATAAGTTAAATCCACATCGAGGGTTTTGTGAAACGGATCGACTTCTCACATGAGGTAAAGGAAATTATATTCACATTGTATGATTAAAAATTATTATGATTAACAGTTGGGGAATATTTTTTCAAAGACCAAACACAAGCACCACAGGAAAATCCTCAAGCAGCTACCAAAATATTTGGTTTCATTTGGAGAAAGATCAGCAATATATATATGAAAACTGATACCAACTGTTACAGTTCATATTGCAGAACTACTCAAATCAATCCAGAAAAGAAACTAATTTATGTACATATATACACACATATGCATATATACACATGCATATATGGAAACGAGTCATATGTAAATTGTCAAATCAGAAACTGTAAATGTTGGAAAAACTATGAACTTTCTTATATCAAATCCGGAAAATATAATTTAAAATATTTTCTGAATAAACATTGATTTCTATTACTCTCAAATTTTGAAGAATCCAATTGTGTATGTCAATTACATCATGCAGAATGCATGTTGATCAATAAATGGTTTTACATTGAGTATTCTGCCATATACCTATTATTAGGTTTATGGTCAACAGACTTATAATTTGTGAATATTATTTTCATCTAATATTAAGTTTATATAAATTCCTGACTTGTGAATACATATTCTCAAGTGAGGAATGTATGTGTATAAAAAATTCCAAGTGTTACGTTTTTGAACTCAATATTTCAATTACTAAAGATAGAAAAGTATTGAATATCAGTCTTTCATCAACCTATTTTCACAATTGAATTTTCATCAATAACAACACCTTTTTTGTAAAGATCGTATTTCAATAATGTAAGCTTACATTTTGAATCAGTAACATAACTAACAATATCTCAACTAAATAACATATTTACAGATCCGAAAGTTTATCAGACTCTAATCCCAGTTTGGACGTGCAGCCTGATATACCTCGTGAAAGAGAATTGCATGGAATCGCTCATGGTTTGGCGCTGTTGAAAAAAAAGAGAAAGAAATTTTCGGCTTCCAGGAATACTAGCCCAATTATTCCTCCTACGAATCCAATTGAGCTCTCTCATAAGAAATTCCAACCCGTGAAGGTATGTAGAATTATAGAAATGATACACACATAAGTGGAAATTGAATTGTTTTTTTCAAATTCGAAATTTCATCAATATATAGAGCAAATAATTGGTTAGTTAGTTTATTATTATAATTGTGTCATTGAAATGAAGCAGAATGTTAAAATTATTGAAACGATTCCAAAACGTTTTCCCTAATTACAGAGATGAATAATTATTTTTACCAAAACTTTATGATTGCCTATATCAATCTTCTGCAGTGATCAAAGCATACAAAGCAATATTTCTAGTTATTATTTATTTCCTGTTGAATATCTGAAATGATTTCCAATACAGCCGAAATCAGTTTTTAATTGTTAAAGTTTTTATTTCTGCAGGCTTTGAAACGGGCTTCAAGCGTACCAACCAGGGTACCAGAAATGGTTCAAATCACGCACAGACACGAAAAGACTCAGTCTCAACAAGACTCCATCGAATTACCAACGACGGTACCATCCACTCTCACCCCCTCAACGACTGAAGAGAGCGTCAACACCGTCGGTCAACCGACTGCAACGAGTGGAACTTCCAGAGATCCGCTCTTGTTCAACTCTTCTTCCAGCAATCCTGCCAATGGATCGTTGCAAACACCTGACGAAGAATACAGGCATCATTCTTCACAGTCTCTACCGAAACTGCCTGGCGTCATTCCTCTCTGTGGTCATACTGCTCCAACAGGGTGGTTGTAATAACTTTACGGGGTTTAAATGTAGTTGACAATGTTTCCTGTTGAATGATGGAGGTTTGGGCTTCAATTGTGTACAAAAGTGTTAACAGATTCGAAAGCTTTAAAGAAAAAATAAAAAAATTTATAAAATATTATAAGAATATTGGCTTTCACGGCCGTGGTCACGATTATAAAGAACAAAATCGGTGCTGGTAGGTCACGATCGGAAGGAACTTGTAGTATCAAAGTTTCGTCAGCTATATCGGCAGATATCTTCAGTGGTTTGAGCATTGACTGCAAGGACATAGATGATATCTTGAGGTTTCATCAACAACTGAATAGGGAGTTCCGTGTTCACTCATATTTATAATAGAAGGGGATTAGTTCGCACTGATGCTAGGTTGTTCCAAATGGTTCACGTTGCTGATAGATGTGCTGCAGAAGAAATATCGAATAGAGTATTATTGAAATCCATTTTTCACCTTCTTAAGTTTTGGATACCACATTCTGGTGACTTGTATACCTCATCCTTTCCCAATGTATTCTAGAAGACAAAACAACAATTTCTTTATATTTTATCACATGGTATGTTTCCCTAGGACACAGACTTTTCCTATGTACCACAAGTACAAATTTTACATCATGAATTCAAATCACTCAACTGAGGAAATGAGAACTATTGGCCTGCAACCTAATGATGTTCTTGTCAGCTTCGATGTCGTTTCTCTCTTTTCCATTGTACCACTCATGGACACGTTGGAGCAGATTGAAACAGTTTTCTCACGGACTTCATAGCCCCATGACCACTATGTATCAGCAATGAAATAATTGTTTCGCCAAATGAATGGATAGAGTCGCCATGGAAAGTGGTTGCAGTGGTTACAAATTTCTACATGCGAGTTTTCTAGAAAAAACCGCTCAGCATCACTCCACTTTTATGGTTTGGAACTTCGGGAAATGAGCATGAGAACAGTTTCTATGTAACAATCAGCTCACCTTGGAAAAGGAAAACAAAAGAAAAATATCATTTCTGGATGTCACGATCGATATAAAAACTGAAACTAAGTCACACAGCTAATCGCAAACTGAATCATACTAATCGATACCTCGACAAAAACTCAAATAATTTTCAGTAATGATGAAAACCCTCATTAGTCACCAAGATGTTTGAGTCACATCTTCTTGAAGAAGATATTCATCATCTTGTCCTTTACCAAACTCTACAGGACAATCAGTATACCTGGCAGGAAATCCAACGCGTATTCTAGAATAAATAGCTCATTTTTTACCATGAACCAACAGACTGAGGTAGACACAGTCTACTTGCTTTACCTGAACAACGTCACTGATTGCATTGGGAAACTATTCAGAAATAATAACATTCTTTTGAAGACAAAACACAATCAGTACAGAAAAATCTCAAGGCACTCTAAGAGTGGTGCCATTCAAAAGTCAACTGATTCTGCAACACTATCAGATCAGTCAAGAAACAAGAGCGCCTTTAGATGATTTTCTGTTTCTGTAGCTCAGTGTACAACATACCTTTCGAATGCAGCATACAAGAACACGAATGTTGTTTGACATTCCACTTATAGCCTAACTCATTTATTGTTTTTTTTTTCATATCATAATCATTTGTTTTCTCAACAAAGTGGCTTTTTGATGTTTTCTGAATTTTATATTTGTCTTTTTTTTCTTCAATAATTTGGACATTTTTCGCTAATTTTAAGTAAGCCTTTCAAATATTTCCAGTCTTGTTATTTTCACTGTTTGTAATTTCCGCTTATTTTCAATATTATATCCCTTTATTTTCTCTTCTTGTAGCTTTCATATCTGTTAATACCTTTTTAGACAATCGAAATCCAAATCGCCAAATTTTATCTTCACGGGGCCATTAGACTTACAGCATTTTCAGTATAAACATTTACCAGGAGGGGTCATCATATTTGAGAACAAAACTCAGTTTGAAACAGTAACTGCTAAAAATGGGTATGGAAGATAACATATAGTTAAGTATCATTATTTGTGAATGGTAAATGGAATAAATGTTCTTTTTAACGGGTAAGGCTAGTTTTTGAAGAATTTTGAATCAAACTCGAGTATTTTAATACACTGATCACTAGTATATACAGTGTCATCCCCAAAGTATGCACCATATGGAAAACTTATCTATTAAGGGTTTTTCGACAAAATGTTATTCTTGATAAAAGTTTGTGCATACCCTAAAACTAATCATACACTAACAAAATACAGTAAAACACACGTATTATATGAGGAGCCTTCGAATATTTGATTTTGAGACAAGAGTAAAGTACCTACTCTTATTTCGAAAAATCTCAGGAAATGTTATTCAAAAAAGTTGTTCAACATTGAAAAATACATCTAGATTTGAATTCATGGCCATCTTAAGATTAAGGGTTTTTCGACAAAATGTCACTTTTGATAAAAGTTTGTATCCCCTAAAACTGAACATGCACCAACGAAATATAGTAAAACACACGTAAAGTACCTACTCTTATTTTGAAAAATCTCAGGAAATGTTATTCAAAAAAGTTGTTCAACATTGAAAAATACATCTAGATTTGAATTCATGGCCATCTTAGTGAAGTTTTATTTCTCACATTTTTTTTTAATGGAGATTACGAAAAAAAATTTGCTAAAACGATAAATAGACAGCATCCTGTATACGACGGTTTATTTTGAAAGCCTGTAATATTACGAATTATACAACTTTGGTGTTAGCCACGGCCAATTTTTTTTAAGAGTAAAATAATTCTCAAAGTTTTTGATGCAGAGTTATTTTTTATATCAAATCACAAAACATCAAAATATAATGGATATTTCAGAACAAACTCACTGATTTTCTGGAAAGTTTCTTGTCCAAAATAATTTTCCAAAATAATCTCCAGAAAATCAATGAGTTTGTTCCAAAATACCTATTTCATTTTGATGTTTTGTGATTTAATATTATTGAGTTCTTGTTAAAATACTGTACAATTTTGAGTAATTTTTGGAGTTAACAAAAAATAAAAATAACATTTCACCAAAAACTGAAAATTATTTTACTCTCCAGAAACATTGACTGTAGTTAACAGTTGTGTAACGTCAAATATTGCAGCCTTTTAAAATAAACCGTCGTATACAGGATGCTGTCTATTTATCGTTTTAGCAAAATTTTTTTTCGTAGTCCCCATTTGAAAAAATAAAACTCCACTCAGGTGGCCATGATTCCAAATCTAGATATATTTCTCAATGCTGAACAGCTTTTTTAAATAACATTTCCCAAGATTTTTCAAAATAAGAGTACTTTACTCATGTCTCAAAATCAAATATTTGAAGGCTCCTCGTATATTACGTATGTTTTACTGTATTTAGTTTTAGGAAATGGACACACTTTTGTCAGGAATAACTTTTTGTCGAAAAACCCTTAATAAATAAGTTTCCCATATGGTGCCTACTTTGGAGATGACACTGTACAAACCCGTAAAATTCAAAACTTGTAAAAAAACAACTGTTTCAGGAACTCACTTTGATTATGAAAACTCGTATAATGACATTTTTTCTTGAATATTACATGCTCATTTCAAATGATTTTACAGAATAAAGAACTTTCATTTCACCAAAAAACCCTGTTTTTTGAAAACCATGTTCCAAATTATGTTGCTAGTCAAAGTCAACAAATCAATGCAGTAAGTTTTCCTAAGCTTTGCCTCAGAAGACAGAAAAGTTATATTTTTTTGAGTAGGTAATTGGTGACAACCAGCGGCTCATGCTATATAATTGACTTTTATAGGAAATATATCTTGCAACTGAAAAAAATGAAATTCGGTTAATCCATTACAAACAAATAAATATTTTTTCTATGTAATACTTCAGCTAGTTCAGTTTTCAATATTGGTCGTTATATCCGACAAATTGAGGAACCTATGCGACGATCGATGAGAAAAAGGTGGAAGTCCCGCACTTTCAACTAGACTGGCTTCTCTGCCTGTTGGTAGTGCTTATGTATACCGATTGAGAAGCACAATTAAAGTTGAGCGAAACCTTGGCCAAGTCACAGTCTATCGACGAAGGACCATCGGCTACTGACGCTACTTTTTTCAGAGATTAACAACACTATTCCCTTTACTGAGGTTGTTGGCCCCGAACAACATATTAGATAGGAGCATCAAGACCCATGTGAGGACTTAGTCTCACTATGTAGACAATTTCAGACTTGCTGGCAATTGGATTCTATACATTAGATCTTTTATCTTCTTGATTACCAAGTAAAGTGTATGCAATTTGGATCACAAACCTCTCCGAAGTTGGGGTTGGTAGAGCCAAAATGCGTTGCCCTCCATGAAACTCACCTGCCTTGACTTTTCGTCAAATCTCATTTTCATCCTATCGCTGGTAGGCTGTGATTTGAATCAGACAAATTTTTGTATGATTTCCAGTCTCATCTTCAGGTCATTCACTGACTCTTGAAAGGGTACCTCTTGAGATTCATTGGCTATAGCATTTTACGTCTATGGAAACCTCGACTAGTTAACAACATGGATTGTGTGAGATCCGGTATGCCATCAAGAAGAGAGGAACCAATTTATCCCAGTCGGTTTGATTTCCTGAGACAAACATCGAGAGAAAAAGAACGGTTATTTTTATTCCCATCAATGTCAATAAATCATAATTTTCTTCCATACATCCGATTAGAAGTTGCGGTCCTGATCCGAGTATAACTATTAGGTTACTCGGTGCCGGCAATTGCACCTTCTGCTACAGTTTCAGCCCCTTGGTTGGGTGAGGCTACTACTTCGGGCCATTTGGAAAAAAAATCCATCACAGTTATCAGGTACTTCTTACCGAATGTGGTCACAGGAAGTGATCCCAGAATGTCAACGACTATTCTTCAGACACTTCTTTAAGATGCACAGGTCACAACACTCATACCACTCCTCAACGTCTCGGTGGCAATTGACCCAATAGTACCCCTCACGTAATCTCGTGTTCTGCTAACCGTTCTTGAAAATATCTTTCCATTCCGGTCCCACTCTTTTGTCAATTCATTTTAGTACAATTTTCGAAACCAAATCCTTCTTTTGCGCTACGTTAGGTATTTTTGTCCTCCTGGTGTTGACAAATTTTGCATCCGGAGGACAGCCATATTCTTCTTGGTAAACTATCTGCGTTTTCATGACTCTTTCATTTCAGATGTTGAATTTCAAAATCGTGAGTTTGTAACTTTTTGATCCACCTACCTATTTGCCTTTTTAGAGTTTTGAAATTGAGGAAACACTGAAGTGCTGAGTGATCTGGACCTGATCAAGAATTTACGACCATATGAAAAGGAGTGGTAGTGATCCACCGATCCACCGCCTTGACCACTGCAAGGTGTTTTTTTTTGGGTGACGAATTGATTTTTTGGATGTTCCCAGAAACTCACTGAAATAGCCAATGAAGACTTCTTCTTCTTGTAACTCATAGAATACTGCCCCTATTCCCAACATGGAATATGATGTTGGGATGCATCCGTCTCGAGTATAAATGAGCCCTCCGTTTTTGGGTGTGACAGGGTTGGTGCACTGATCAAAAACCTCTCTAGTGACATATTGGCTTGATATCGCCAGTTTCGATCCGGTGTTGAACTGAATGTGTTTGAAAAATGATTTTGCTCCTCCGCAGATCGAGTAATTTCGACTAGTTCTTCTTCAGCGCGCCATTAATACCTTAGTTTCTATTCAACCATTTTCAAGCCTAAGTCTCACTTCAGCTTCTCCATAAACCGGCAGTCTATCTTCAGTGGCTGTCTCCAGAACGGGTACTACTGATAACTCCTCAAAACTATTTGTGTAGGAAATGACGGCTCTCATTACTGATCTCGTTGCTCCAGTTTCGAAGGTGGAAAGGCACTGATTATCATTCAGAAATTCATTGACAGCTGACCTGTTAGGGTATGCACGTCCTATCGTGGAAATCGGATCCTTGGGGTATAGCTGCCAATACATTCCCCTTATACTGGTTGAATTCTGAACCCCGAGCTATCGTTTGGGTGATCCTTAACGCCAGTCTTTTCTATTTTCGGATCCATTCAATTTTTTATAGCGCACTATTCTCAGGGACTACTGCAACTGGGTGCAGGTCCATCCGTCAAATATTTTACGAAGAGTTTATCGAGACCTGCCATAAATTGATAGTTTTCTTCATCTTCATTTCCGTTGAGGGCACTCACTGGAACATTTCGTTGTTGACGCAAAGCATTTTTGGCAGCTTGAAACTCTAGGGCATGTATGCCCTAGCTTCATTTGATTCTTTATGAGTCGCCATTCTCAGCGACTTGTCATGAACCTCGTCGATGAAACAAAAATCCAGTGGGTGAATTCTTCGGGTGTTTTACCAATATTTTGACTTCGGCCCCAAAATCCTGCAGATTGATAGACTTCTTGAAGCTGATAAGACTGCTTCATAAATTTTCTGCTTATTCACTGGAATATTTGCAGAATTTCGGAGACGTTTCCTCGTAATGCCAGTATATGTTGCTTTCTCATCATTTTTCCAAGCTTCACATCGACAACTTTTTCAAATTTGTCCTTTCTTTCTGAAATACTTCTACAAATTCGTCCTGAATGAATGCCTGTACCTTTCCTTCGTTGAATTGAGAATATAAATATTTATCAATAATCCACGATATTTCTCTCTATCGCTTTCTTGTTTCTCATGAACATTTACCACCAAGTCAATGATTTTTTCCTGTTTCTATTGAATATTCAATAGTAATTCACGGTTTTTATTTTTGTGTAATCTTTCTTTTTCTATCCTTTGTTAACCTTATTCTCTCCTGCGTTTTTCATTCTACGCCAGCCGCGTTCGCAAAGCTTCAAACATATTCTTGAGCTCTTATATTTTGTTGTAATCGACAATTCATGTTTTCACCATGAAATATAAAATTTTCACTCAAATTTATCACTTCCAACACCGAATGTTACATTTTCCCCGTGGGTCCGACAATAATAGACCACACTGACAATTAAACTCAACTTTATTTCACTCTTACACTGCCAATACAACACACAAACTTCAACTGAATTTTAGACTAATACTCATATATATGTCTATCACCTCAATAGCTCAAATTTCCTAAAATATTGTAACTATCAAGATCGCTTGCGATGTTTGGATCTCCAGTCTGGCA